AGTTAAATAGTACCATGTGACCAAATAGGTTATGGTACCATGTGACCGAGTTAAATAGTACCATGTGACCAAATAAGTTATGGTACCATGTGACCGAGTTAAATAGTACCATGTGACCAAATAGGTTATGGTACCATGTGACCGAGTTACATGGTACCATGTGACTAAATAGGTTATGGTACCATGTGACCGAGTTACATGGTATCATGTGACCATGAAACCTGTGACCAATACACCATGTCCTATTTTCTGCGTACCTTTGCTTTAGTGCCAATCTGGTCTATAACAGTCTTGAAACTCCATCTAACATTTGCTTTGACAGACTTCTTGCACATTCTGGGACACGTCGGATCCGCTCCCTCGACGTCTTTGTACATCCCGTTGGCACCCAAATTTGATATGCATTCGAAAGGAAGCAACTGTACCATATTGTGTAAATATTAAATTCCAAAACAAATCAAAGTAATAACGGTACTTTTCATTTATACACATAGTGAAAAACCCTTACCATAAGAGGGATTATAAACCTACGACAGTGTCATTTCTTCTTCGGCCCTCCACTTCCGAAACTCTTTCTTGATCAATCATTCTATCAAATGTGTAGCGTCCCCATGGAAATCTCTCACAGAAAGCCAAATCATCCACCATGTCTACCAAATCATGGTTTATAAACTCATCTGTGGTGCCATGATCCAGTATTCCACCGAGCAACATGATAACAGCCAGTTTCTTCCTATCAGCAGCCCTTTGAGTTGGCGTCTTCTCGAGATATCTTATCACACTCTCCTTAGACACCTTTCGATTTCCAAAAGTCTTCACTCTAAACTGGCTTTTCCTCATATATTCCCATCCAGCCGGATACTCACCGCATTTCAATCCGGATATGAGAGCGTGTTCAACGATGGAGTATCTAATGGGCACACCATTTAGAACAAACCATAATTCCTTTTCATCCTCCACATTGACACAATGGTTTATCAGGAATGCTGCTGGAGCCATCTTCAGCGTGCCATCAAATTGCATGTGAAACAAATGCTGAAACTGCGACTCATGACTGAAATACCTCCATTCTTCAGGGCTTAACAAGTCTTTCAGTTTTTTTATTGTCTCCGACGGGTAACATTTGGTATTTATCTTAGGAGAGAACTGAATGTCTTCCATTTTGTACATAAACGACAACTGCACAACAATAAAATACATCAGATCATGTGACCTGTGACAATGTGAAATAGTACCATGTGACCTATTCTCCTCTGACCTGTGACCAATTGTCCTGGTACCATGTGACCTATTGTCCTGTGAACCTGTGACCATGTGACATAGTACCATGTGACCTATTCTCATGTGACCTATTGTCTTGGTACCACGTGACCAATTCTCATGTGACCTATTGCCCTGGTACCATGTGACCTATTGTCCTGTGAACTATGACCAAGTCACCTATCACCAATCGAACCGATCATGTGACCTAATTTACATCGAACCCTATCACCTATATCATTGTGACCCAAATCAACATATCATTCATCATCCAAACATCGAACCATACATCCCGTCACCTATATCACTGTGACCCAAATCAACAAATCATTTCGATTTTAACCACTTCAAACCAAAGATTATAATGTTATCCCTAAAATTTCAAATACGAAACCCTAGATTTCTATCATTTCAAATCATCACGGCAAAACAATAAGGAAACATATAAACTTTCAAAATCGTGCAAATATGACAAAAAGAGAAGTAATGTACCATGTGCTCATTTAACTCCGCGATTTGGATTCGAGAATCGGTCTCGTTCGAAGATGCTGACGAAGATGAGTGAACCACTGACGTAGAAGCCATTTTCTTCCTTCTTTGTGCTTCGAATCTGAGGAGAGTAAAGACAGAGACTTATGAGAGGAAAATCGCGGCTTAAATCGACGGTTTTTTGCCACAAAACCGGCGGTTTCGAAAGACAGACGGAGGAGATGTCGAGAGTTAGGAGAGAGAGG